AAAATAGACTGCTTGAATAACTATTTGACTAACGGAATGCTTCATTGACTGACTGCTCAAAGCGCCACCTAGCGTTAGGCAGCTTAAGCACCGTAAAACCTAAATTAAAACTTTTCAATCTTATAATAGAGATCGAGCTCAAAATTACAAACTCATTCTATGCTTGAGTCAGCCAATCAAATAATATTCATAGATCTACTCACCCATTCCTGACCATACGAATCAGTTAGATCGTTGACGGCCTTGGAGTCCCACATCTTACGGATGCCAAACAGTTTCATGGGCAGGAAACCGTTCTCAGCCATAATCACAAAGTAGACAAAGAAACCGGCTGCTGCCTGGATCATGCCAATTTGTCCATAGGCCATGGAAATCAATCTGGATTTTTAAGGGTCGCGTAACAATCAAACGAAACGAGAGGCAAACAAAATTAAATAAGTTTAAAAATGTGAATTTATTTTTTTTCTTTTAAATTTTGTGTGGATTTGTTGATGGATTTCTTTTTTTTTTTTTTAGTTTTATTTTTAGGTTGTAAGACAAGTCTTAACGAGCTTTAAAGATCAGGCATTATAGCTAGAAATTGCTCAAGGTTTTTGTGCATTGTAAATTTAAAATAAATTTAAGCGTGAAAATTTGATCAAATGAACCAAAATTTACATCAAATTGAAGACGGAATATTAAAATTATTATTATTTATTATTAAACTTTACATTTTTCAAATTATTCAAAAAATAGATATTTTTAAGACCAATTTTATATCAATAAATGTTTGTATATATTTAACAAACGATTAGTTTTATTGCATGTAGAAATAAATTAAATAAAAATATTGCTAAAAATCTTGAGCAACCCATGAGCTTGTAGCATATCATATTTCTTCATATGATATATAATTTTGGTATGCAATTCGGATATTCAGAGTTAGTAACTGTATAGAGAATGCCATTTTACCTTTAAGCTCTTAAAAATAAATTACTTTTTGGTTACTTTGAAGCAAATGAATGAAATTGTTTGTGTTTGACTTTACAGAATATAGCGTGGATTGTATTATGTATTAGATATATATTGGATTTTGCATTTAGTTTTTGTTTTTCTTATTTTTTAGTAAAGCGCATTTTTAGTTAAGCGTGAGAGCGCAAAGAATCGTTTTCTTTGTTTTTGGTTTTTTGTTCAGGTGAAAAGCAAAGTTCTTATGGTTAATTTCTACATTTTGTGGGTGTTAAAACATGCAGCAAGACATAGACAATGAACATATATTACAGGGTATTTGGGTGCAAGAACACATGCAAGTAGCGAGCTGTATCCAAAACTATAAAAGCAAAATGCAGCTAAGGTTGTTTGCTTTTTTTTTTTTTTTTTTTTTTTTTTGCTTTTACTTACGCTTAAACAAGTTTCTGAAGGAAAAAACATATAGAACCAAAAAAAAAATATACAACTTATAGATAAACAAATAAGTTATACATAGACTTACAAATAAATATAAAAGAAAAAAAAAAAAAACATGACGAAGTAAAGTCCATTTGTTGTTGGTTAGAGGACGAGCCCACATAGAGACTTACTGCGAGGACATTGCGGCAACAGACTTGGCTATATAGTGGCTATATATGTGTGTTTAACTAGGTAGAACGCAACAGAAGCTTGATTTATATATATATATAAAGTATTTGCTCGACTCATCTACTATATATATATATATTATATATAGAACGCACTAACTGGGCTAAAAGTAACGGCAGAAAAGCTTCGCTTTTTTGTCTGTTTTATTTTGTTGTCTAAGTTTTCAGTTTAAGTTATGCCATGTGTGTGGGTGTGTGTGTGTGTGTGTGGGCGCTATCTATGCAGCAGCTATGTCCCAGAACAAGTTCTAGAAGCGTATTATCAAACTGATAACCCTTATAGATATAAATATGTTATATTGATAAATCATTGATTGTGCGACTAACACACAAAACATTGATGCACATTGTTTATAGAGATTCAAAAGAAAACAAAACACGGATTTTCCAAAAACATTTAACACACATGAAAATGGAAAAATTTGAAAATTTTGTGAAAATCAACGAATAACAGTTAACGAATTTTCATATACCATATTGAAAAGATTTTTGTTTTCTTTTTAGAATTTTTAAAACACAAACGAAATTTATAGTGAACAATTTGGTTTCATTCCACATTAAGAGCACAAAAAATGAAATCGAAATCATAAAAGATGTATATTTAGTATATATGTAAAATCTTAAAAATTTTTTTAAACACTTTGACAGTTGAGAAATGAGAACTTAACAAAATAAAACATTGAAATGCTTAAAGCAATAAATGCATCAGCAAAACCAACAAATACATTATTTTATCAATAGTCTTGCAGAGGAACTGTTCTCGATAGAGCTGATAATTTCTATATACATTTATGACTCCATAAAGTTGCCCAATCTTTTCTGTACTCTCAAATCAATCTACCTTAACCCATCTACCTATACCCCAAACTTGTTGTGGTATGATGTCAATCATCATAATCATATAATATATATACTTCCGATATCAAATTTAGGAACTATCAGTCAGATATATTATACAGTATTACTCTATAGTTCTTTACACAGTTTTTCCATATCTTCAGTCAACTAGGCCTAAACTTAATTGACATAGTCAAACGCTGTATGTAATCTAGTTCTATATGTCATTCCCTATAACTGACAACTCACATATCGATCTGCAAGAGTATTGATATTCGGCTAGCCGAAATTCGGTTCCTCTTTTTCGATCAACACCAAAATTTCGTGTGTGTTTTTCTCAGAAATATTCTTCAGATTGTTGGCCGAATTGTTTGGTTGGATTCGAGGTTGGTTAGGTTTTGGAGTTTGGGTAACAGTTGTCACACACACACACAACTCAAACAAAGGTCAAACGAAGGTCAAATGTCAAATTTGAAACATGTTAAAAAAGAAGAAATGGGGGTTGCATGTTTTGTTTCATTTATCTAAAATTTGTTCAACTAAACAACTAAACGTAATATTCTTAAGAAATTTTTTGTTTTGGTATTTTTTGTATTTTTTTTTTTTTTAAATTCCTTATCGTTAATGATTTGTCCTGACCTGCGGTTTACCAAGTTGTCGCGGTATGGATCTCTCGGCTGACGCTTCATAATATCGCTCTCGGCTTGCTCGTAAGCGAGTGAAATGGCCGGTATCTTGCGGTATTATATTGGTATTTTGTTTTCGATAGTTTTCAGTATTGTTTTGGTGGTACATTAATTTTAGTTTGTGCAATTTTTCAAGTATATATTTTTTTTTATTTGATTGAATCAAAAAGAAAGACATAATAAAAGATTTGTAAAGAAAAAATTGGTGTAAAAGGGGGAAAAATACGAAAAGGAAAAATCTTGGTTAAAGTTTGACGAATAATCTTTAGCTTGGCATTATGTAGGTATATAATAAATACTTTTTATATACTAAAAAAAATTTTTATATGCGCTAAGATAGGTTTCTCATATACATATATATTTTAGTTATATAGTAAGTACTTAGATAAGAGATAGAGGTTCGGTTGCATTTGGTAGATTAAGGTCAGTTGGTATTTTTGTATGGTATTTCTGTTTGGTTTCATGTTTAGTGTAATTGTATTTAGCTTCTGCGTACTTACGAAGCTAAAATATACTACACTGGGCAGCAAAATCGAGCAACCGAGTAACAAAACATCGACTTGTTATAGAGTTACAAGAGTGGAGTATTCGTGTATATATATATGTGTGTATATATATAGAGTTTGCTTAGAGCTTAACTTGCACTAGATCAGTATTTAGTATTTATATATGTATGTAGATATAGTTAAGACTAGGAAAAAATAGAGCCAGTTGATGTGTTTCACACACAACAACAAAAAATGACAAAAGAAAGTTTTTGGATGTAGATTGAAGTCTGATGAGTTTGATTGATTGACTGACTAGGGTCTCCACAAATGATTGACTGATTGTGATTGACATGGCTTGATGACATTTAACTACTGCTAAGAAATGCATAAAATATACAATATACAGTAGTTAGCATTAGAAGTAGAAAATAACTCGTAGACTAATTATATAGTTTTATAGTTAAGCCTGACTCTAGTAGTAATAAATAAGTTAAGTTTTCTCATTATATATAGGTATATATGTAGAGAGATCGAAACTAAGTAGTATACATCGCGTTCTGCTTCATCAGCTTTCAGTTGTGAATGGGGCAACGTAGAGGGGACTTACCTTCCTTACAGGAAATCAGAAACTCGATTCAGGGTCAAAACTTATGTCGATTGATGGTATACAATAAATAAAATTAAGATTGAGTGGAACAAGCAAAGAAGTTTCTTGAGCACCCAGAGTAGAAATTGATAGAAAAATATATATATATAGTGATATATATAGAGTTAAGCAAAGATTATATGAAGAAGAGAGTTGGAAAAAAGGAAGCAGCTAGAGCACGCCAAATCGTTTTGATTGAATGTGATTGAGCGAAAAATTGTAGACGAAATATTTCCTCATATATGTATATTCCAAGTGCAGTGCATTATGCAGAGAGAAGACCGTTCAGATATATATTGATATATATATTTGTATATATATGTATCATACGAATATATTTTTCAAGTAGTTTTTCTTTGTGTTTTTCTTTTTTTGTTGACTTTGACTTTTAGTTTGAGTTTGTTTTTTAAGATTTGCAAAAAGAAAATTGAAAATTAATTAAATTGTAGCTATTGTATATAGATATAGATATATATGTATTTATATTGGAATACGAGTAAGCGCATAAAAGTTAGTATTATATCATTGCATAATAATAGTAGAGAAACTAAAGAGAAGGCTAAATTATTTTCAATCAAATGAAATTGAACCAAATAAATGATAAATTGAAATCAAATTTTCGAAAATATTTCAAGTGTAAATGGCCTAAAGCCCAGTGAAGAATACTCGAAGTAGTAGTTCAACTAGATCAGCTCGAAGTGCTTGTCGGAATCGAGATATATTGGAGAGTGTTTGAGCTATAGTCGAATTGTAAACTAGAGAAAGTATATATGAATATATATAGAAAGATAAACATAATAAAGAACTAGAGAGAATTGTTCAAATATTACGTTAACATTTAACTAGCTGATACTCAAAAGAGGAATAGAATAAGAGAAGAGAACATTGAAGAAAACATAAAACATTTAACAAAAAAATATAATAATATAAAACAATGCTAAACATTTAACATAAAATGTTATTAGAAAGAGGGGAAGAAAGAAAAACAAAACATCAAAAAATGAAACATTCAAATAAAAAACAAATCAATAGTTACTTTACTTTAGGCTAAAAATTGTTTTTATATATATTTGAAGCTAATTGAAAATAGAGTTTTAAATAGACGAAAATTAGTTCATAGTAAGAACTTTGTTTAGGGCTGAGCGTACTTTGCTTTCAAAACTAACCCGAAAAAATGTTCTTTGAGTTTACGTGAGTTGAGAAAAAATTGTTGTTCATTTGCAGCTCACTCTTTTACTTTAACTTTAACTTTTGACTTTTAGTTTTAGTTTGTGTATATATAAATATGGATTTTTTTATTTCATGTTTCATTTTGTTGTAGTATTGGTTTTGATTGTTTTGTTTCTTGTTTGTTTGCTGAGCACAAAGAAAAACTTTACCTTTCGTTGACGAGTTTATCTTGAAAGGGATTCCTGGGCTGGCGTTTCATAATATCAGACTCAGCTGTCTCATAGGCTAAGGAAATGGCTGGCACCTAAACGTGCGAGCATTTTTTGTTTGTAATTTTGTTTTTCGTTTTTTTTTTGTTTCAAAACACAAACCGGATATTTGGAATAAAAAATAAAAAAATATGATAAATTATGCAAAATTATATATCACTATCTCCCTCTCCCTCTCTCTGTCTCTGTAATTTGGGCAACGAGAATGCGACCAGTATGAATTCCATTGACGCACAGTTCACTTATAGTCTATATATAGATATATCATATATTATACTTAAGATCTGGCTTAAAGCTAACTTAGCAGAGCATTTCGATGAGATCACAGTGGAATCGTGTGGCAAAATWAAATAGTTGAAGAATAAATTAAAATAGAACTTAAAATTAAATTATAAATATATTGTTTTTTAATTTTGAAACACTGTTTTTTCATTTCGGAATATGGTTAATGTATATATATATATCAATGTATATACATATATGCTAGTATTTGCTACAAATTTTTGTGTGCAGTTAATTTTAAATACTTTTTTTTTGCATAGAAAACTAAATATTAAATGCCAATCAATTAATTGTTTAGAATGTTCAAATATGTACGTGAGAACAATTGTTAATTTTTTTTAATTAAACACAAGATAAAAGAAAAGAAAGTAAAAAACTTGTGAATCAATTTGGCAGTGAGTGAAACATAAAAACAGTTACAACCAACGCACACCAATTAACATTTAGAGCAGTTTTGAATAGAGGCGAATCGATATTTTTGTTGCTTTTGTTTTTGTTTGGAACTGTACTCAATTTACACATAGGCCAATTTTACAATACAAACGAAAAAGGAAGAAAAATAATGTTTTGTAAAATATCATGTTGTATGGTGTGAAAATGTAAACGAGAGCCAAGAACAGTTAGGTTAAGTGCTAATATTATGTACGATCTATATGGAAATGAAATGAGGTTAAAAGTTATCGATACATGTATGTGTATCGACCAGGCTTAATGTATATATGAGCTGGAATTCTTTTCGATAAGAGCACACCGATAATTGTTAGGTTATTATATTAAATAAGAATCATTGGATGATTATGTTTGAAATGGAGACGATTTGAAATCGGATAGGCATTATGTTACATAATTCGATTGATAGATGTCTATCTGTAAATGTTAAATGATAATCTAAAAGGGAATTTATGCATTGAAATGCTTGAAGTTAACATGATTTTAAAGGCCACATGTATATGCTACAAAAATGACATCGATACTTTATTATCGATAAATTATAATGAAAAGAATAAATGAATTAAAAAGTGAAGATGATTTAAAACTCGAACGGTATTTATATATGTATATTTATGCTACAAAAATGCTATCGATAGGTGTTTATCGATAAACGATAATCTTAACAGTTAGTTGTTGTTTAGTGAACTTTGTTAGTTTGATTTTTTTTGTACGCTTTGGAGAGTTATTCTCATTTGTTTTGTTTGTTTGTTTAGTTTTTAACGTTTATGCTAATTACAATCCAGCCACATACACAGACATCGATTAGTTATAGTTTATGATGTTTGCGCGAGATTATTGTTAAGTATTACTTTCATTCTTTTTGTTAATCTTTTTTAAAATGTGCATATGTGTGTATGTGTGTGTGTGAGTATGTGTAAGTGTGGGGTAGAGAAATTGACTTGATTGGCACCTTGAGTTCACTAATTTATCGTTGAATGGGTCACGTGGCGGACGCTTCATAATATCGGCTTCGGCATGTTCGTAGGCCAATGAAATGGCTGGCACCTGGATTTGTGGATTATTGCAGTTGGTAATATTAGCAAAACGTTTTCACAATTCGGTATACAAAGTAGCTCACATAATACAGATCATACAGATTCTGTGTGTACGTGTCTGTGGATTCGACTAGAATTGAGAATTATACTAAACCAAAATACTTAAACTACAAATAGGTTCATTAATTTTTCTTTTAGATATTAGCCTAGTGCTTGGCAGCTAGCTGGCAAACCTAATTGTTAATTTACAGCGTAGTTGGGGACAGTTTGTACCGCTGTTTACCTCTCGTTGACTAGATTGTCCACATCGGGATTACGTGGACGTCGCTTCATAATATCCGCCTCGGGTCCCTCGTAGGCCAGCGATATGGCTGGTATCTGCCCAGCAGGCAGCACAATTTTATTCAATTTACAACACACGTTATATATACGTACAGTTATAGAGAGAACAATAACTTAAGTAGCTAACTGACTTGACTGCGAGTGTATAGATAGCTAGGCATAATATTATCATTTAACTTGCTCGTAACACTAAGCGGGTTAGCATAGTTAACATTAGTGGTAGTCCGAGGGTTAGGCTGGAGGCAAACTTACCATGTCAGTGCCCAAATCGATGCACAGAATTGTGACGGTACCGAGTGGCAGTGGTATATCGCACAGAATGAAGGCCAAGAAGGGCGAAATCTCGGGTATGTTGGAGGTAAGTGTATAGGCAATGGACTTCTTCAAATTATCAAAGATCAAGCGACCCTCCTCAACACCAGTGACAATGGAGGCAAAGTTATCATCCAACAAGATCATGTCAGCGGCCTATAAAAAGTTTAGTAAAATCAGTTAGAGTTCTCATTGCAATGTTCGACTTGAATACTCCCAGTCGAAAGCAGTTGAATTGAAATGAATCTTAGACACCTACCTGCTTGGACACATCGGAGCCGGCAATACCCATAGCAACACCAATATCGGCCTTCTTCAGGGCAGGTGAATCGTTGACACCGTCACCGGTGACAGCCACAATGGCGCCCATGCGCTGGCAACCCTCGACGATGATGAGCTTCTGCTGGGGCGAGGTACGGGCAAAGACGATTTCGGTGTGATAGCGTAGGATTTCATCAAGCTGATCGGACGACACATCACGCAGCTCGGCGCCATGGACAACAGCAGCCTTAGCCTCGCGTGGATTGACCTCAGAGATGGGTATGTTGAGACGCTGGGCAATATCCTCGATGGTCTCGTTGCCTTCGGAGATGATGCCCACAGATTTGGCAATGGCTTTGGCAGTAATTGGATGATCGCCAGTGACCATGATGACCTTAATACCGGCCGAACGGCACTTGGCCACGGCATCGGGCACAGCGGCACGTGGGGGATCAATCATGGACATTAGGCCAACGAAACGCAGATTGTCAATGGGGAAGTTGATGTCATCGGTGTTGTATTTGTAGCCAGTTGGGTATTTATCGGAGGGCAGCATGAAATCACAGAAGCCGAGCACACGCTCGCCGAGTCCACCGAGCTCCATGTAGGCATTGTTGAACGCCTCCTTCATCTCCTCGTCCAACACCTTCTCCTTGCCGTTGATAAAGATGGTCGAGCAACGTTCGAGAATACGCTCGGGTGCGCCCTTCATGACCAGCAGAACACGTGGATCGTTGGGGTCCTCGGTCTCGTGAATGGACACTTGATACTTGTTGGTGGAGTTGAATGGCACTTCAGCGATTTTGCGGTTGCGCTTGCGAATGTTCATCACATCGCCGAGAGCCAGCTCCATGCACTTGAGCAGAGCAGCCTCGGAGGCATCGCCGCTGACTTCCTTCTTCAGAATTGGGACACCATCCTGACCACCTTTGAACTCGGCACGGTTACAGAGAGTGGCAATGCGAGAGAGCGCCTTGAATCCAGGGCTGGTTCTATCGTATTGAACACCCGACTGATCCTCAGTGGTATCGGCCTCAATGATCTGGTTATCGAACCACATGTGGGCGACTGTCATGCGGTTTTGGGTGAGTGTGCCGGTCTTATCAGAGCAGATGGTGGAGGTGGAGCCCAATGTTTCGACAGCTTCCAAGTTCTTGACCAAACAATTCTTCGATGCCATACGCTTGGCAGTCAGGGTCAGGCACACGGTGACAGTGGCCAGCAGACCCTCCGGTACGTTGGCGACAATGATACCGATCAAAAAGATGACGGCATCCAACCAATGGTAGCCCAAAATGAAGGCAATCACAAAGAAGGTGACGCCCAGGAACACAGCAACGCCGGTGATCAAATGGATGAAATGATGGATTTCCTTAGCAATGGGAGTCTCGCCGGTATCCAGACCGGAAGCCAAGCCAGCAATGCGACCCATGACAGTGTGATCGCCACAGCTGATGACAACACCCTTGGCAGTGCCCTCGACGGCATTGGTCGAGAAGAAGGCTAAGTTTTTGGTCTCCAAGGGGTTCTCGTGCGTGAACTCCGAGCCACGCGATTGCGGCTCCGATTCACCAGTTAGCGAAGAGTTATCCACCTTAAAGTTGCGCGCCTCAATGATGCGGATGTCGGCGGGAATACGATCGCCGAACTTCACCTCAACAACATCGCCCAAGACGAGATCTTCGGCGCGCAGCGTCAATTTCTCGCCCTCACGAATAACAGTTGCGAATTGGGGCACCATGTTCTTGAACGATTCCATGATTTTCGAACTTTTCGATTCCTACAAGTCAAATTAAGGAAAGAGGGATGAGTAAGCATAGATTAATCGAAAGCAGACTCGCAGTTTACCTGGTAGTATGAGAAAATGCCTGTCACAATGACCACAGCGGAAAGTACAATACCCAGATACAAGTTATCGTCGGATGGCTCCTCGCTGGTTGTCGCCTGAATGGAGTAGGCGACAAAGCAAAGTATAGCACCGATCCACAGCAGCATGGCAAAGCCGCCAAACAGATTCTTGCAGAACTTCACCCATTCGGGTGTTTGCTTGGGCGGTGTTAGCGCATTGGGACCATCACGTTCCAGATTCTCCTTAGCCTTGGCATGACTCAGACCCTGAGCGTAAAGAACGAAAACAACATTTAGCAAAAGAAATTTATGAGGCATTATGCAACAGTAAGTCTTACATTTTCAGGATGTGTCTGGAAACGCTGGTACATTTCCTCAGGAGAGATTTTATGATGGTCAATATCCAACTCCTGTTTGAGATCATCCAAGTTCTCCTTCTTAGCTGCTTTGGTCGGCATCTTGCGTCTTGACTGTTGACCAAATTGTTAGAGAATAAGTAACAAAAATTAGTCTCAAATTGTTGATGAGTGAATTCGGTGCAATTAACCCAAAAAGCCAAGACAAAAATCGATTTACTTCAAGCCAGAACCGATTCGAAGAGCGTAGAGTGTTGAATAGACCATAAGCCAAATTTTTTGGTTAAGAGAAAAGATTTGTGGTGTCGTGTGTCATTATTATTGTTGTTGTTGTTGTTATATATAACACGCTTTCAAACTTACCCCATTCAGTTAATATATAGATATATATATATAAGTTATCCACAATATGCCTAAATACTTGTAATTGCTAATTGTTGTTAAGCGAGCGCGTGAGAATATTTTGTTTTGCTGCTCTATAATCTACAGCTAAAATATACATGCAATAAATTGTTCAATTTGACGCGTTTAAAAACGCGCCAAAAACGCGCACAAATTATGAATGTCACGTAAAATGAAAAACGAAAAAATGTGACCAAATAATACTAAAAAGCACTTTTGAATACTCTACGCAAATTAATTATAAATAATTCTATACTAGATGCGTATAGACACTATATAGACTATATAGCCTAGCTATATAGATAGATCAACGCCAGCTGTTGTCTGCTCTGATCTGGTCTGGCAATCGCTTTTCTTTTTTGTTTCGCTTATCTATGCTAAATTTAGTGGCGCGTGACGTCACAAGTGCGAATATTCGAAATCATTGAGAAAAGCCCGCAAACTGGTTGAAACCAGTTTCAAATGTAAGCTCAACAGGTTGCTTATGCCAAAACATTCTAAAGATTATATAGAATTGTTAATTACAATGTCAATGTCAGACAACCAGCTATATCTCTGTATTTGATTAATAGATTTAGCAAGAATTATATATACGTGAACATTAACTGGCTAACTGTGTTTTATGTCAGTATATCTATCTAGTTATATAGTTGTTGCTTATAAAGATATATGGTTCTGTAAAGATTTTGAGTGTTCTATATTTAATCTGGGGCGATCTTTCGCTGATTTCATTTTAAATGTCAAGCGCGACAAATAAATATTGGAAACATGCCCAAAAGTACGTAAGGTATAAATAAATAAATACATGAATTATAAATGTAATTGAAGCAACGGAAATCGAAAGATGGAAAGGTTTTAAGTGCAAATAGAGAAGAGGCAATTAGGCGTGCGCTAGTCGAGCAGGAACGACTAGTAGATTCTCAGAACTAATTTGGGAGCGAGTTGAAAGATAAAGAACATTTAAAAAATAAAATTAAGGTTATACGGAAAAGATTTAAGCTTCTCTTCTACTTAATACAAGAGAGTTTATATACGAAATTGGAATGTTATAGCATTTACAGTTTAGAAGTTATGTTAAAAGCAAACAAACTACCATTTAAGATATAAGAGTTAATCAGAGAGGATACTTCTTTAGAAACTATAAAACGTAGGATTATGATTATGATATATTATAAAAAAGTTTCCAGCTCTTCCAAATGCTCAGTCAGACGGACAAATGGATATTCAAGACTTTATATGTATAATTTTCCGGATATTCTTTAATGCTATATACAGGCCGTACAACCCGTATAACCCCATTAGTTCAGAGTATAAAAACCCAAATAAAATTTAAATTAGACCAAAAAAAAAAAAGCATAAACAAATCGAATTAATACATGAATGTGAATGTTTCGTACACACACACACACACAACGCATGAGTATAAATGAGTATGCTTACATAGATGATGGTGGGTGTATGGGGGTGGGGGTTTTGTTGCTGTGGGGTAAAACAAAATAGAATTGAAAAATTTACCTTGAAGTGGCCATCGGCTGTGCGATTGTCGTCATCGGTTGCAATAACCGTGGCGACTCGATAGGAGTCCGCTCTCTCTAGATGCGGCTGATATTGGTATTTGGATTGATGGATGTTGATTGATGTGATGGACGTCAACGAAATACAAATCAAAAACAAAACGTATCGAACAATGCAGAAAAATAAAATATAGATTTATATATAAATGATCAAATGATAACAACAAGCATTACAGATGAATAATATTGGAATACATAGAACTATAAATAAGGCTATGATAGTAACTTAAGAATTATTAACTAAATATATGCTCTTAATTTATGTTCCAGCATGAACTCATCTATATGAATGTGAATCATGTCATTTTTAGAGAAAGGAAATTATAGCTAGTGACTGGAAAGTGGAATTGTAGCAATAAAGCGCGCATGTGCCGCATGTGCGTCTGGGAAGGCCAATTGATTGCGGCTTTGCCCAGCACAAGTAATACCCTACACTTTGGGGGCTACGGCTTCGGCTCTGACGTAAATTATAGAGCACCCTATAATGAGTTTGTCTTATCAGCAAATGCGCCAAAAATGAATCACAGCGTAAGCAAATAAATAGAGAATTATCAAATTTGGAACAAAAAGAAAAATAAATATATGAAAAAGTTATCTATATTTGAGCGAACTATAAATACTCTAGGGCAGACAAATTTCGAGCGAATTGAGAGCGCATAAATTTGAAAAAAATCAATTTTTTAAGCAATAATATGAATATATGAAATCTTGGGCTGTATAAAAAAAGTTTCAAATACAAAGAGAAAACTATGTACTTGACCAAGACATCATATTCATAAATCATACATAATCTATGTGATTTGATGGGAAATGTAATAAGCAAGGGAGCAGAGGTATGTCCGAGATAGGTCGATTATATCTATGTAGTTATTTATATGGCATATAGTATCAATATCATTATGAACATATTCATATATATGCTTTATGGGCATTTGGCAGACTTATGCAATCGTGAACCTTTGAGAGGCCATCAAGATAAATAAATAAACAATTCAACAAAAACAAAAAGAGAATTATATATATAGATATATATATATTTACATATACTCATATATCTGTAGTCTCTTTTTAATAACTCATGCAGATTCGTAAGAGCATGCCAAGTAATTAAACAAACAGAGAGTAAAAAAAAACCAGAACGAGAATATGCGAGCGAGAGCTACATATTATACATTTGGTATACGTATGCTACACACAGCTTTATATCTATATATATACATACATATGTATCGTATATATATAAGTAAATGTATGCAGAGAGTTGGCGTGGGATCAATGTGCCGATCAGTGCAAAACCTGTCGTGCGTGCCGGCAAAATCAGTTTAAAAATCGATGTTTTTTTTCAGGTTCATTTGGGTTCTTGAGTTTGAAATAAATGTTAAGATTTTTGCTGGCATTTCTGGGCACATAACTATTTATAGATCAGTTCTGCTTACGCACTTTTTCTATATTTCTCTGTTAACTTTGTCTCGCACAAATTCGCTTTTCGATGCTGCTTAATTTGCACAAATTGTAAATTGGTTTGTCCTATCTGCTGTGTTCTAAGTGCTAAACAATCTGCATAGAAGAGAATTGTAATAATGTTAGTTTCATATCTGTATATCTTAAATGTAAACCTAAACTTAGTTTATATACTTAAATTTGGTGCAAACAATTGTTAACATTTACGCGGGATCATAGATAAAATTTCTGAAATCAGGAAGCCTCCTCCTATAATCCATCCATTCGGTTATTTCCTAGTCAGGCGCTGCCGACTCTAACCCTTTTTTTTAGCTCCCACAGTCTTTAAGCACTGGCGCTAATTTCTATTTTCCTGAACAAATTAAATTAATCTTAATTTAATTTTTTTTTTTTAAATATATTGTTTAAGTTTAGTCGATTGTTAGCATTCATGGTTCGATAGATTTGAAAAGCGCCCATAGAAAATCGCGAAAATTGTGTTTGCGAAAAAACGAATAGCAAACTGGGCTGATGAAAAGCTGAACTAAACAATTAGAGAAACGCTCTGGATGGGGCCAGCCCCCAGGATGTTTGGGATATAAATCAAAATGCGACAATAGAGCATTTGACAAACACATACACTCACACACACACACACACACATGCAGGCGAGCACACTGAAAGCTGTTTGCATAACGCAGCCAATTAAGCTGCTCAGATACAAATGTATCTCACAGATACAATTGTATCTGTATGTTTGCTTGCCCCAAAGCATTTGGCGCGCACTTTTTGTCGCGCAAAGCATTTGCCATTTTGAACTTGAATATCAATTTACAACAAATGGGCATAGCGCATAGACAAAAACAAAAAAGAACAGTTATCGGATGGATGCAAAAGTCGAGAGTGCGATAAAAAAAAAGAAATTGTAGAAACTGAATTGACAGCCTCTCTGACGGTGCTCGGGCAGACAAATAAAACACGACACGCTAATTGTTCAATCAATGCAAAGACTCAAATACAGTGGGTACACACTATAAAGACACCAAAACGACGAATCTTGTGATTCGACATGATTTGTGATTGAATGGCGTTGGCGATCAAGTATTTGTAATTTGAGTTAGCAAGGAAATTATTTACTTTACTACTGCCGATTTACTTAGCGAATGAACACTGTGTATATGTGTATGTACTAGGTATAATCCGCAATAAGTCAAGCAAATTAAGCCGCACAATGAAAACGACAATTGTAAACTATTTCAATTGAAATTTGTAGCTAAGCGAAAGTGCATATCACAGCAGATTTATAAATCTAAATCTGTCGCTCGCTCGATCTTCGCCTCTCTTTGTTTCGGAGTGCGCTCTGAGTAAGTCCCAGATGCAAATTGTAAGTAATAAAGTAAAGTATTGCATAAAAGTTATGTCACTCAATACCAATATACTCTCTATGCACATCTGCATACAGAGTATAACTTTTACAGCTGCAGCGACAGCTGTTCGAGCTTATCAATGCGCACTGCTTGAACTTTTTGATGGGGTGGACGGGGGTCAGTTGTGATGGGCACTCATTTCGAAACTGTTCCAAACCAGTTACAAATCGTATCTAATCTTACGCGTTCCAGTACTGACCAGACAACATCAGCCCAGCCGCTTGTTAACTCAAGTGGAAACACGTTTTTTTGCTGTGCTTTTCCACCTAGGGCTAGCTAGATATCTCACGTTCCTATGGGCCAAGTTTTAACAATTGAATGCTAATTGTGTAGCATGCTTTGTCAGCGTCTGCTTATTTCTTAATCGTTTACAGAAATTTACAAAGCTTTACTTAAATGATAAATATCTTAATTTAAGATCGAGCAAATATTGTTTAGTAAATACAAAGTTTTTCCTGAGTTTACAGAAAAGTAAATCTAAGTTGCTTGTAAGTTTCAATTTAAAATCAGAGAATCTGAGCTCATGGGAATTGTTACAAGTCCTGATAAACTTATTAATGACTTATAAACAAAATTTTTTTTTAAATTTAATATTAAATAAACTTAATTTTAAAATAAATAATGAAATGAAAATATATGTATATTAACACATTCGACATGAGATAAATTCAATATATTTTTTTCTTTTTACCCACCTTATAACTCATAACGTCTGTAATATGTCGATGAAGTAACGGTAAAACGTAAAACAAATTACAAAACTAAAAAAAAAACCGCAGACAAAACTGAAGAACAAACATATGAAAATAAGAACAGGCAAAAACAGTTAGGAAAATATGGATGATTTTCAGCTTATGCAACAATCTGCAGGCAAACCACAAAAAAAACGGAAAAAAAAAACGACGACCCTGGAAGGCAGCAGGAGCCAGCGCAAGGCGGCAAAGCAGCAAGTGGGCCGACCGCATTGGCTGCAAAATGGAAGCGCGGAGAGCATGAGCATACATGGGAAATTGGAAATGGCAGCAGAACTGGAATACAAACTGCAGCCAGCAGTAGCAGCAGCAGCAGTACCAGCACTAGCTRGCAGAAGGATGTGAACTCCGAATGGGCAAGAGCAAAAGAGCAAGTGAGAGAGAGAGAGAGAGAGTCGTGCGTTTACGAGTGTGTAGTTGGGTAGTTGTGAGTGCAGAGAGGCGCGTGATTTTCGAAATTGAGTGCAATCGCCAGCATTTCGAAAATGAGCGCCACAACTGCTCAGAGCACATAGCACAGAGAACAGAGCACACAGCACAATATGTAAGGGCTATGCGAAATGTAATGTAAAAGGAAACATAGTTAGTGTTTTTTTGTATTGCTTTTTAGTCCAAGATGCTTTCTGACTGCCCATTCCCGTACAAAAGCGCACAGAATTATGAAATAACCAACGGCGGGTGGTCATTGTATACATATATATAGGGGCAAACAGGCATCCCATTATGTTCTTTTTTTTTTTTTTTTGGGGGGGGGGGGGGAGAGGTGGCCAGGAAATTGCTACTATTCCAAAATGAAATCGCCGCAATTGAATACAAACGATTTCATTGCCACACACAGTTGGACAAACTGACAAACAGTGGGACAGGTACATATATAATGTGCATGAAAATGATATATGCACACATACATATATGTAAATATGTATGGATGTGTTAATTTTGTATATGGCAAAATCATATGTGTGCCAAATCAAATTGCAATTGTGCATACATCAGTTGGAAAAAGCAACACACACTCTCTCACACACACATTTACTATAAATACACTCTCACAAATTATTGTTTATTACGATAATGCTCATGTAATTCTGCAAAGCACTTCAACTAGCATATACATACACACATATATATAAATATATACATGTATTTGTATATGTGTGTATATCACATACGTATCCATTACGGCTGGCTTGAAGTTTTGGAAAATCGATTTTGTACAAGGACGTTGTCGTTGGCTTTTCTCTTTTCTTCTTTCTTGCTGTTCTCTTTTCATAATTTTTTTCTTTTAGTGTAGTATGTAGTATGTTTCTAGGGTCTTCCACTGCAGTCGTAAGAACAACAAAAACAGCAACAACAACGACAGCAATAATAATAAAAGGTAAAGAGTTCTTGTTAAATGTTGGATGTGTCTACCTTTTACACGGCGAGGGCTATTACACAATATCTTTCCGTTGCGGGGGTATTTCGCAGAAAACTACCCCGTTTCAAACTAATTATTGCACTTCAAATGCTGCTTCTTAGACGAAACAACAATAACAAATCACACACGTTTTTTTTTAACACTCGTTAAGCTGTGAACAGCTTAAGAGTTTGGGTTTTTTTTGTATTTCTATATGTATTCGTATCCTGTGTGCTTCTTCTTTGGCTTTATCGATGCACAGTTATTGTGTAAGCAGCAGCACACCAGCGCTACGAAGGCGGCGGGCAGAGCGGAGAGCTGTAGAGCTGTGTACTTGTACTGGCGCACACTGGCTGTACCACCCGACACACAGAGAGACGAGAGCTCAGTGTAGCTACTACAGTTAGACCGACCTTCCTAGTTCGGTAACAACGCTCGACTGAAAATAGTCATGCATGCCGCGAGTGAATAAGCTTTCGTTTAGCGAAATTTTTGTTCTAACGCGGCGTCGAATTCGAATATTTCGCTCGGAGCTTTCGTCTGCCAGATGTTTCGCTCCTCTGCCGTGTACATTCGGCTGCATGCGTACATATGAATGTGTACGTGTGTATGTGTATTAGAGAAGCTTTCGGAACTCTCCCACAACGCAACGCGACGCGCGAATGTATGGCAGTGTGACAAGTGAGGCAGGCAATGTGCACAGTGGTGCGAGCACTTCGAAACTGGAGCAGCACTTAGATAACCGAAAAGACAGACAGAGCGATAGAGAGAGAGAGGCAGAGAGACAGTGAGCTGGAGAGAGGTAACTGGTGCGCAGGAATGTGTGTCAGTCAGGCGATTTTCGAAACAGTTCGAATTTGCATGAATTGTATAAGCAGGCTGTATGAGTAAAAAAAAAAAAGCACAAAGGACACAGCTATATTTTGAGTTTTCGGCATTTACTGCTCACATTTGTCATGTCCTCAACTTTTAATCGTTTATCGAGCGCCGCCAGCGATGACGTCACTGATGTTAATTATACAGTTACACACAGTATGCCAAGCATAGCCTCCATTCTTCAAAAAAGGGACAAAATGCCACATCCAAGCGTAATATAAATGTCAGCAGCTACTGCTGCTTCTTCAATTTCTATACGCTTGGTTGTGGGGTTATTTCGAGCGAGGACATCTTATGCTTGGCAACTTTTGCTATTTCGGGTGCTTCAGCTCGATTACGAATGCGAGTAAGTCTAATTACACTAAATGTCAGCAGCAGCAGCAATAGCACACACACAGACAGACACACACACACATATTGGTTTAAGTAACACAAGACCCTAACAGAAAATCAATAGAGATATCGCAGCGAAAAAAAGAGAAATACTGGCTAACAGGGTTTCAAGCCACAGTAAAAGCAGCTTAGCTGAAATTAAACCAAGCAAAGGCTCTTGATGATGAATTACAGATTTGTGGCTTGTGGAGCGTGGATAGCATCTAGATAAGCACGAAAATGGCCTAGAAATGTTATAAAGAGCTTTCCTATACAGTGCTCACTCGTTGATTGAAAACGTTTTAGTTTTCTTATAGGAAATGTATAGATTTGTTATTATGTATATGGTTTTAAGTCACTTAAAAGGCCAAGCAAATAAACAAACAATGGACGCATGGACTTTAAGTGGACGTCGCTGCCGGCGCTTCAGGCCAAATGGACAACGCTATAGAGAGGGCATGAGACACAGAGAGAGAGAGAGGGAGAGAGAGAATACATGAGGAGCCTTTTCTTTCTTTGTCCTCTATAGTAAAATACAACTTATGTAAGGACACAACACACACACACACCGCCACTAAGTGCTCTGCGTGTGTTGGTAAATACTTTGACACGATATATGCAGCTGTGACCCCAAAACGAGCGCCGCCATTCGAGCTCCGCCGCCAGCGCCCCCCTCGTCCGATACAAAGTAACTCGTGAAAACAGTTGCTTATGTAAATAGTCGATAGTTGGCAATAATGTCCGAGCTTCAGCTGACAAATGGTCAAATGACAAGGCGACTCGAGCACTACAACAAGGTATTACCACGTTCAGCACCTTGACGTCAGCAATTCTATAAGATTAAAATTGTCTAGAGATATGCGGCTATATCTACGAATACCTATTATACTATGTATCGCATATCTTGAATCATTCATCATATTCGCCTTTTTGTTATTGGTATTGCAATTGAATTACACACAAACTGTTGTTGTCAGGCGTGCCTGCCTATAGAATAGATATATACACAGCTATACAGTTTGAGACCTATGTATATATGAAAGTATAAACTGAGTCAACTTAAGGGTTGGCACTCGCAGTCACGCCTGCTGCACGTGTCTGTGGCACACAAGTCACACGAGACGGCACTTTAAGCATGTGCCAAATGATCTAGTTTCGACTGAACTACTTTAACATGCCCTGAGGCCTACCAGGATGCGAGTCACCTCGAAAAAAAGGAGGTGTACTACTCAGCAGTTCTATTAACAAGTTCGATTTCTAGAACTGTGAAATATTTGTGTGTTCTGCTTAAAGATACCCTATATAGATAATGCAGAGTAAGAATCATATTCAATTTGTATATTAATATATATTATAAATATTTTTCATTTTATCTTACTTCAATTTTTCTATTCTATCCCATAATATTTCCTTGAATTTATTTATTTTTTTTTTTTTTTAGTTGAAAACAATATTATTATCTTAGAAATAGATATATATTCTGCTATTATTTTCTTCTTTTTTCTACTCTAAAGTATATTTATAGAACCCTATTCATCTATCTGTTACAGGGTATCAACGTAGACAGCTTTTGCCAAATAAATATTTGGAAAATCAATAAGCCTAAGAAATCCAAATGTTGTTAAGCACCAAGCATATATACATATTTCTGTATGAATATACATATGTATTCTCCGTCTGGTATTTCGTATTAAATATTCAATTATGACTTTTAAGCTAAGCAAATAGTTTGGTACACAATGGCCACAGTGTTGTAAAGACCTTTGATGATATAACCAATTCATATGCTTTGAATTCCATTTAGTGTAGTTCGATTTATATTCCTGTTACTTTTTTCACTTTTCTGTTGGCTGCATTCGCACATTACGTATACGCCGCGTTTGCCGTGTGAAAAACGTGCAATTCACATTGACGGAACGTAGCTAAAACTAAACGAGCTACGTTAATTACCACAACAACAATTGGAACAATTCTATTGAGGGGAAGCTGCCATTACAGAGCTGCTCACTGTGAATTGTTTTGTTACAAATGTTTGAAGATCTGTACAAATGTAAACGTAATAAAGTTACATTCTGCTTTAACGGAATATAAACATTTTAGTATTTGTCAATGATAAGCTCGAATTGAGTTAGTACAGTACTATATGAGATATACGTTTATGAACGTTAGATAGAGAGATGCGGAAGGGCGATAGGAAGATGGCGTAAGCTTGAAAAATCAGAGAAATGCGGAAAAAAAGATTCAAGAGAGATTGCATATGAGAGAGGAAGGGAGAAACAGAAAGAGAGCGAGAGAGAGAGAGATTACATAGTCAGTGTGTACGGCTGAATATCCGGACAGAAAGGAATAATTATATTCAGGCTCGAGACAAATATACAAAGATTGTAAACATGCCTCCTACGCATATGCGGATGAACTCTGACCTTGACACTGCTGCAACAATTTAAGAACATATAGGGGACCAAGGCTGACCTTTACCAAAACTCAGAAGAAACAAATTTAATGTCAAACTGCATATTGTAATATTCGTATTATTTATGAGCAGATTGATTAAAAATTTCAGAAAATTTTAAACGATATCAAGCGGAGCAAAAGGTCACACCTAATAGTTGGAAAATATATTTGAATATAGCAAAGACAATACATGTATAGATATAGATGTAAATATGTTTATCATACACTTAGATTCTTATGGCAATTGCATAAGCGCCTGGACGGTATATTTTGTTTAATTGTGTTCATGACCATGGCAAATGACAGCGACACAAATCACAGACAGCCCAGTGCAGCATAATCAACATAGAATTGTATGGATATATAACCGCACATACATATATATGTATATGTGTATGTATGCCTATGTGTATCTATGTATATGATGCGAATGAACTATGGCGCTCGGACTTGGTATTTTGTACTTGAGCACTGATTAAAATGTGTTTTTGCCATCGCACAGCTGGATAGATGGTCTATGATGCCACTGGATGTAGCATCCACACACACACACACACACATACATACCCATACACATACATTGTAGATCGTCTAGTCGTTGCTCGTAGGCGTTATGACAATAGATTTACGAGTGTAGCTCGCTCGCTTAATTTGCGCTATTCAGCTTGAAGACCTCCAGTTAAAGAAACGAAAACCTTAAGACAGTCGCCTGAATGAAATGCCCCCGGAAAAAACCAATTGGCCAGAGTCGTCGGCTTAATGTATATATATACAAAGATCCAGTCAGAGGCAATGGAAAACGTGTGCCATAGACTGACTGCCTGCCTGACTGGCAGACGGACAGACAGACAGACAGACAGACAGGCTGTTCGCCTGGATAGTTTCTCGCTGCTGTTGCTGCTGCTGCCTTCTTGGTGGGCGGCGGGTTTCGTACATCGCTGCCTTTTGAGTGGCGCAATAAATTTTAATCAAAATTAAAATATGTGTGCATATATTTCTATACACACACACACACACGCACACACCAGCAACTAAACAAAGAGCCAAGTGGCACACACACACACACACACACAAATGGATACCCTGTATAGTAATATGCACTCAGCGCGTGTGTGCTCACTTCTTCTTCTTCTTCATCTACACGTCCATTGTGATTGGATGGGAAAATTTTTAGATCTGACTTAGAAACAAATTTCTCGGTCTTTCTACTCGTTATGAATGAAAAGAAAAAGAGTTTTTACAAATTAAAGATATAAAGACATGAGGCATACAGAAAAAGTAGTTAACGATGTTTAGATCAAATAGTAATCCTTTTTTAGGTATTTACTCCACTCAACAGTACTACAAGGGCAGAATATTTTCGAAATGTATAATCAATACAATCAATCTCTCTCTTTATCTTGTATTATATCTCTATAATTGATATATCAATACAATCAATCTATCTTTATCTTGTTTTATGTCACAATGTTTTTTCTCTGATTCTGGCATTTTATTCTCACTCTTCCTCTCTCTCTCTGTCTTTGTATATACTATAGAATTTACATGCAGATTTGTCTTGTTGCTAGTTGGTCAAAAATCCCATTTAGAGAGTACTTAAAATATCTGCTGATAAGTCATATTTGTTTATCATAAAGCACGTTTAATTAAGCTTATAGGTAGCACTGCTAAACATGATAGCCAGTTATTTCCAGAGTATTTGTGCGAGCCACACGCAGAGATAACAACTGAGATAGACTATTCCGACAAACAAAATAAAGTAGAATACAAATTATAGCTCAACAATTTCTGATATATGTAGCTTTCCCCACGTTGGGAATGATGTGGAAGTTTCCACTTGATTCAAATACTGAATAGAATACTATTGTTTCTATTTTTTTATTTTATTTTTTTTTTTTTTTGTATAGACAAATATTACAGATAGACTATCTTAAAGGTATACTACGTCTACAACTAAATTAGAGCAATTAACTGCTTCGACTGATGGTCATGTGTGGGTTAACCTATTTAAGCAGACTAAGCAAGCGACAGTCAGAGCCAAAGTCGGCAAATGCTGACACATTCTAATTGAGACACACACACACACACACACACACACACACATTGGCAGACGTCTCTAGGATTGTAAATGGTGGGAAAATGGAATTAAAAACGCATTAAGAGACCGCACAAATTGAAAGACAACCTTGTTCATATCCCGTCGAGTTTTTGTGGCCTGGAAACCGAATCACGTTTTCATAGTTTAAATTATTGCCAGATTTATATAGATAGAGCTTATCTATTGATGACGCAACTAGTTCGAGCCAAGTGCGCAAACCAGTTACACTCAAGTGACTCCGCCACACATTTGACTATTGTGGACGACGTCTTATCGCTGATTCCGATTCGATTGTTTAATAACAAAAATAATTTAACAGCAATCAAAACAGTTACTTACGTTATGACTTATCGTTAAGAGATTGTCAAACATGATAAATATTATTTATATTTCGCTACGCATACGTAAATATGAGATACTGAGCTAGCAAAAGTCGTGATTTATTTATTGAGTAACAATAATACCAGGGAATATAACATATTTCGGAGATTATTATGGCAAATAGATCTACTGCATGCAATATAATATCTTTGCGTATCATTTTATTAGTCTCTGTCCCAGTCTCTCCTTATTTCTCTCTTTTGACTCATCTCATTGTATATATCAGTTGTATATCAGCTCTTCCTCTCGCCCTTCCTCTTTCGCTTTCTGTCTTTGCTCTGCTTTTTCTTTCTGTTCTTCCTTGCATGCTTTCATTCTCTCTCATTTCTGTCCCCATCCAATTTCATAGTTGTTCTCTGTAATTCTTATTTATTTCCCTTTTCTCTATTTACCTCTCTCCTCTCTCTCTCTCTCACTCTCCCATTAATCCTTTTCTAAACAATATTTTGTTTAATTTCGTAAAATAAATAATTATCATCATTATTATCATTTTCAGAATTATTCCATAATATTCTTCATCTCTTCTATTCTCTTTTTTTGTGATTTGTTTGGAAGGAAATATGATGAGTGGAAGAGATCGACGTCAGCAGCTACTCGCATTGAATTGTATTTAAATTATAACAAATTGCGGCCAGGCACATCTTTTGTATTTGTATTTGTATCTGTATCTCAATCTGTGTATCTACAAGTGTAAACATTCTATCTGTGTGTTTAGCAAGTGTCACAATTTGTTTGCTGTACATGTGTATAAGTGTGTGTGTGTGTGTGTGTGGCATTAAATTAAATAAAAGTTTAATATGACAATTTATGTAGCAGTTGCAAAGATGCCAAGTGCGACAAACTGTGGCACAGAAGGCGATTTATGCACAATTGAGATACATTCATGCCCAACGACTTTCCGAGTTGTCTTGCATCAACTGCCATGTCAATTGTTCGCATTATCAATGTGAGATATGTGTGCATATATACATATATATTTCAATATAGTACTAAAGTGGGCATTATCAAGTTTTTACATTCAACACTTCTTAGACAAGGCCAAGAGGCAAACGTGTATTTGCCATGGCTCTCTTTATACCCTACATACATGAAAGTTGAAAGTATATAGTAATTTCTTTCACCTTGCATCTACTTTATTGTCATATCAAGAATAGGACTCATTATAAATATATCATTACTATCATATTTCTATGATAGCATATTTGCATATTATATGTAGAGTATCTGAGAGTCGAGCATGTTGTACTTGTTAAGTTATATGCCTATTAATTAACTCATCCCTATGAATGTTCCTCGCTTTGCTTCACTAGTGACATATAGCCAGAACATTAACTAGCAGAGTATCTGTTAGTCTAGCACTCTCTACAGATTCACACACATTCATGAACAACGAATCTATTTCAACTCTTAGCAACAGACATAAAAGTCTGCCCTCACTTGATTTGGCCCAAACATCTGCAGTTTATCATAAATATTTAAAAAGTTCGGCTATCGGCATAGAGTTTATTTGTTTTTAGTTCTCCTCTCTCCCCTCTTTCTCTCTTTTCATTAGCGAATTCCTTCGCTATAAATCTCAACTTGAGTGATTGACTCCCCCACAAGCAATGCTCACAAATTGCGGTAATTGCTCTCGTCTGATGCCATCAACAATGCGTGTCTATCAGCTGAGACTGTGTGTGTGCGAGTGTGTGTAAGTTCAAATTTAGCTGTGAACTACAGCGAACAGCAGCTAGCTTGTTTGAACCGGTCAGAAATTAAAAACTTAGCAGATGCTCTACAAAGTATGCAAGAATTCATGATATTTGTCTTAAGTGCTTAAACTATATCGATAGATAAGGGATATATCTAAGCATATCTGGGAATATAAATTTCTCTCTTTTCTCTTCAAGAATATGCTTCTATTATAGAAATAGATGTCTGTCTATATACTCAAAAAAAAAAAAGAGATAAATTTGATATATTCAACCTAATTTTGTAAGCTGTTCTCTTACATTTTACAATTTCAACTTTTAAAATCAGTCGAATTGTTGACTTTATTATCAGACAGTGATATATCATATGGCTGGATACACATGCAGTTCATAGTATAAAATGTCTGGTCAAGAAAGATACGTCTGCTTTTAAGTGATAAGATAAGTTGATCATATTTGCAGTTTACTTCAATTGTAGCGCTCTCCACATAAGACTACAAATGAGTAATATTTGACTAAATTCTTATAGATAGTTATTCTCATAGACTACATTTGTCTTGATCAGCATAAATACTCTACTCATTAAGGTAATAGAAAATCAATCTGTACTTCTGTAAGGTCAAGTTCTTATAGAGAAACTTGAAACATGAAAAATCGAGCATATTCTTAAATGATCTTCCATATTATATACTATTACTATATTGTATCTTATATATACATATTTATAGATTAAACTTGCTCAAATATATCTCGAATCTCTTATGGATTTCGACTTCAGTTCTAAGCTATCGATTCAACCTCATATGACCTTTAGCTAGAACAGAGTTCAATTTCAAGTAACCCTAATAAAAGACAGCCTTTACATATCTTACTATATCTATACATATGTCACACAATTGCTCAGATACTTGACCCAGTCACACACACAGAGACTACATTTGAGCTCTTTTCATTATTCTTAATCTCTTCTTCTTGCCGATAGCCGATGGGCAAACATGGCAAAGCGTCGCCACAGGCAGGGTCGTCACAGCGACCTTTCGCTTGAGCCGCCGCCGTCTCGAGGTGCGTCTCATCGATTCGCACTGGATGAGACACTGTGCAGGCGTGGCACAGTGCAGAAAATGAGCTTATCTACAGGTGTCGAAATCGTGTTGATAACATGAGAACGTGATGCCAGCTGAGGAGATAATTGTATATGTACTCTACTTTGCTTTAACAAGTCACAGTTATGCAATTGCATACAAGTGGAAATCATGTGGCACATGCATCGCACAGGTAGCACATGAATTAACAGCGGCAGGTGCAAGTCCTTGTGCACAGGTGCTCGAGCACCTGAGGTGCAATCAATTGGCAAGGCAACAAGCAGTCAACATCTAATGAATAATTTACAGAAGTATGTAAAGCAGGTCACTGGAGGGTTTGACAGACTACAACACACTCTGTAAGCGAAGAAGCTATTACGAAAAGTATAAGTATAAGCAAACATAGCTGTTAATTTTCATATATCCAAGTTAGCATACAAAATGTGAGAATAGAAATTGTATATCGATTTTTATCGAATTTTTCCGAGTGTAAATTTGTTTATATTTTAATAAACAACTTAAACCTTCAAGAGATTTTTTTCTATGAGTGAAATAAGTATAGTATTATTTAGTATTACTTTCAACTGAACATATTCATCTTTTGTAATATTTTAATATTAATAGTAATGCAAATTATGATAATAATTACTAACAATATAATAATCTACTTATAATTTCAAGAGTTTTGTTCGTTTAAATTAAATAAGCCTTAACATATCTATAGGGTATTTCGAGAGTCTCTAATCAGCGGCTCAGCTGCTCATCTGTGCTCGAGTTCAAGTAGAGATCGTTGCGGCATATTTGTTATTTTTTATGTCTTTATATAGACAATTGATTAGATTTTTATTGGCATTTAATTGAATTAAAGTGCCGTTATTAATTTGTTGACACACTTTGATTGTGGCACCGGCTAAAACAAGACACGGCACTGGTAAAGCCGATGCAAAAAATTATTTTCCAGTATTTTCCAGTTGCATTTCATTTTCTATTATCGCTGTACGCCAAACGACCAAGCCAGCCAAGAGAGAGACGAAAACAACAACAACAACAACAGCTAATCAGCATTTTGATAGAGTCTAGACCAGCCCCCACATGCAATTAGTACGTAGGTCATAAGTATTCGTATAAAACTCTAGTAAGACTCAAGTCAATAATGCATTAGGTCAACAATATTTCATTCAAATTTACTTAACAGTAGAATTAGAATTCTTCGATAGGGTTTTCAATTACTGTAGATCGGGTCGATCAAGATATTTTTTTTAAGGAATATAAAAACGAAATTATTTTAAAATGGCAGTTCTATGTTGTCAGAGCGTTTTAAATTTATTACAAATCTTTAATCTATCAGAGAATCATTTATCTTTTTATTCATCTATAAATCTCTAACTCCATTTCTTTTCTCCTTCCATATCAGTTATACCCCATTTCAAAAACTTTATGCTGAATCTCACTAAAGTTGAACAACGAAATATTTTCATTTAGTTTTTCACTTACAAGATTTCAACGGCGTTTAATTTCATTTTCTGACTCATAGAGCAAAGCTCATTTGATAATTGATGTATTTATATAGAGTGTACCACATATTAGTAATTAGCATAGCATTTAGTATTTTGCGGTTTACACACTCTAATACTTATGACGCACGAAGAGCATATATATGTATATATATTCGGCAATAGAGACAAGAGTCGAGACAATTTAGCCAATTATTAACTGACTTTATTTGCCTATACTTTCCGTCTGGCTGTATATTAGAACCTATTGAAGCTAACATCATCACATTTTACACATGTTATACACTCCTATAACACGCCCAGCTGGACTATGTTTCATGTTGTTATCTAGAATATTCGCAGCAATAGCAGAGGAAGAGGATTCCGGGTATATCCTAGTCGAGCCCTGCCCACTATAGCATTCACTTATCAATTGCTCCTATTCTATATACTCAAAGTTCTAGGGAACAGCTCTGTATATAAAACAGCAGCCAAATTATCTGATTATAGTTTTAGTCTTGATTTTTTGTGGCTTTGCTTCCCCCTCGCGCTCCCTCTCTGTCTCTCTCTCGCCCTCTCTCTTTTCCTCATCTAAATTGATTCAAATTGAAGGCGCATGACTCAGCATGCGAAACAGTAGTCAGAGGGGCTGTTAGGCAGGGGGCGTGGCTGAATTATGCCATGCCATGCGGCAGCTAAATTATGTTTCGACTTGCAAATGCGACCGATGTGCGTGAAATAAACATATATTACAGTAGACACTCGCAAATTGGAGCAAATTGTTGAACAAAATTAAACGAACTAAGTTTTGAGTTTGTTTATGCATACAGATTGACGAAGATTGATACTAATAATCGATGGAAAAATACTTTGGCTGGAGGCAGATAAACAGTCTAGAAAACCTCGAATATAATTAGTTGCTATCTAAAGGAAATGTGAACAAATAGAATCTTAATAAATGTCTGTGAAACCCATTTTACTATCTATGTCCATACAAACACACAAAGGACACAGCTTAAGGCCATTAAATCAAGGTTTGCTCCGTAATTAAGTCATCGGACCGACCAAAGGCAACTTTTTGATATGATTATCAAAGAGAAGAGAACAGAGGAGAAGTGGAGAAGGAAACTGAAGACAAGTAGAAACAAAATACATTTGCTTATAATTAGCAGGGCATGACGCGCCCCAATGACACCGATTCCGGAAAAAAATGATAAAAAGCTTCAAAGAAAAAAAGTACTCAACAAGCAAAAGAAGAGCGAGAGGCGAAGAAGAAGAAGTAGATAAAGAGAGAAAGAGGGTTGTTTCTATTGGGTGTCTCTTTGGACTCGGACTGGGTCTGAGATTCCAATGGTAAAAACATGTTTCCACTGAATCTGAGGCGTATTGGGCACGGAGGCGTGGCAGTATGTCGATTGCATGCCAACAGTGGACAGAGAGAACAGCCCTCAGCTTGCTGGAAATGTACCGGTTATGTAAGCCATAATACGAGACAAAAAGCAACAACAACAACAAAAAACTTTTCCAATCTGGAAAGCAGAAAGCTTTCAATTATAGGCAACGCCAGAGCGCCAGAGCAGGCGCACTAGAGCAGGCCGACTGGAAAGAGCAGCTGAGCTTTGCGCATGAACCGAGCAAAGAACGAGCAACAACAAAATGTGCACGTAAGCGAAAGTGGCGGCCAGGTGAATGCGAAGAGTGCGCTACCTATAAAGCAATTCAAATTAAGCCGATCAAACACGAGCCCTCAATCCGAATGCCAACGAGCACCACACCTGAGCTGACACGGAGAGAGCAGTGAAGAGAGTGCACGGCAAAGAGAGACAGAGAGAGCGTAACGAGCAAGCGAACGAGCGAAAGAGAGCTAATGAAAAGAACATTAAAAAAACCAGCTCGCTGCAAAGGCACACTGGGCCAACTTCATATTATTGATCATGCTAACAACAAGAACAACAACAACAACACCAGCAACATTAAGCTGTGTTAGATAAACCATCCAATAGGATTAGATGAAAAACACTGCAACGTCTCCACCCAATTTACACTTGCAGACTACCAGAAAAACAACAACCATAAACAAATTAATAAGCCTGGCGTCGCCTAAGGGCGTCGGCTTGCAGCGTACACTACCAACAAAACCAATAACACACTGACACACACACACACACACACTCACACACACGCATATTAGAGTTTCGATTTTTCCATTAAAAAAAAAAACGCCCGCTCAGCACTGTTGTTGTTGTTGCTCTACCGTCAAACACACACCTCGAAAAACTCGAACACAGTTTTAGCCACATTTCAACTGGACTTTTGCACATTTTTGTACTCACACTTATCATAATATATGTTAACAATTGTTTGCACTATTTTTTAGCCTTAATTAACTTAGTTTTATTATAAAATTTAAGTTTATTTATTGCGCTCAGCTCACCTCGTAATCCGACCTTAACGCCATGTTTTATCGATATAAAATTTCCTATCGATTGCTGAATGTTAATTGCTGCTGTGTTAACAGCGCTGTGTTATTCAGCCAGCTGAAATGCGCTCTTAACAGACGTCAAATTTGCGTTAACAGAAATTGAGAACAATTCATGCATTTACAATATTTTTTATAAAACACATCTAAACTAACATAGTATAATAAAGTTTCAGGGTTATGCGCTTGGTAAACTTGCATTTAAATTTGTAAAGCATTATTTTAGGCTGCATTCGTAACAGCTACAGTTAACAGATACAGGTGCTGCCGGAGTGCTAAAACAAAATACTGTCATATAACACGTTCTTCACACTGTAAACGCCAACAGCAAAAGCTTAACGTTTGCTGTTAAGTAATTTAAATTTGAAGTTAAACCGGGCTTTGTTTATTTGATTTCTAATAATTATGACACAACTCCAGCGAATACTCATAGCCCAAAAAGGTGGCCGCATTGAAGGGTATCGCACGCGCCAACAGCATCCAACTGCCACGAAAAATACTCCGCCAGCCATACGCTCTATAGTTGACCTGAACACAATGCATTATGCCTCGAAATTTATGATTCTCATCCGCTTGCATTATGGTTTTGACCACATCGAAGGGTATCACGCACACCCACGACAGCACGCCCGCCCAAGCGCCGGCAAAAGTGGTAATCAGCAAGTTGATATTAATTGCATTCGATGCCTTCCGATGCTTGCGTACAAAATCCGAATTTTCCATATAGCGCGACGCATGGCGATAGACCAGCATATAGATGCCATATGGCAGCACATCTCTACGAATCGGAAATATATATAATAGACTTAGTCTAACTTGAGTTCCCGCCACTCACCGGCACATCATGGGCAAGAGTCCGCGATATAAGCCCGAGATGCCGTCGTTCTTCACTATGCGCTTGAAGGTGCCGAAGGCTGTTCTACGCTGGCCATAGAGGTAGTCGTTATAGTCTGAAGTCCAAGAATTGCCAGAGTAAGCACTGTAGACCTCAACCCCATTCCCATTCTACTTACAGCAATGCGTCTGCAGTCGCACCTTGATCAGCTCCATGGGACACGCGATGAAGGACTGCACGAACCCAGCCACCGATCCGGCCAGGAACATGTTGTGATACTCGAGCTGCTCCCGCTGGTAGTCACTGTGGCAGACGCGTCGCAGCTGCCTCAAATGGTTGCCATAGATGCCGAACAGAATCGAGTTGATCGCGCCCGTCGACATCAGCGGGAAGAGCATGCCCCTGTAGTAACCGTTAATCTTTAAAGCGTTGTCAACTGTTTCCTACCCGAGGGCCAATCGCTTACCCCATTGTTCCGCTTGTAGATCTGATGGATGGCCGTTACGACGGACGTGTTCGATGCCTGCTGCCACGTCTTGATCGTGTCCAAAGGATGGGCCACCAGCACGCCGCAAGCACCTGTTTTTTTTTTTTTTTTTTTGCCACAATTCAAATATAGTCAACAATAATTTTAATTAAAGAAAATACAAGAAATTATAATTAACGGGCGAATTGCCAAGAATTTCAATTGTCTTTCGCCCACTATTTCTATCTCTTACTGCTATTGCTATCTCTATCCCTCTAATTCACTTTCACTCGCTCTTCCTCTCTGCCTTCCTCTATCCCTCTCTTTCTGGCATTATCTAGCCCTCTCCTCTCGCTCCGCTCTCTATTGCGACCGTTAAAAATACGCCTCGGATCATGGGCGCCACACACGTGAACTTGACCGTGACGTCGCTGTTGGCAGCTACAGTGAAAGCTCACTAAAACGAACAGCTAATAACACATGTAAAACTTCGCCTAGTCCAACAAAAACTGTTTAGAACAACAGCATCAATTAGACACAACTCATGCAATTAGCGTCAAACCAACAATTCACTAACTTGGTTTTCACTGTAGCTGTCAGAGCCGCCAACCAGTGTCTTCGCGCGAATGACGCAATATTCGCGCCACATTTAAGACATAAAGCCCTAAACTGAAGGAATCTATGAAACTTACCACCGACACAGCCGGCCACAAAATCACAATAGTTCTCCCACTTCATGGTTCTTCACGTTTTCTAAATGCAGTTGCGCCTTTGGATTATCAATTCCTTTTATTGATTTTTTTAATTTTTGTTGCGGATTTTTGACGACTGCATTTGGCAGCGCGAGCTTTGCGACTGCAATCCAATCGGAGCGCTGTGGTGCATGTCTAAAAGCTTGACGGTTCGGCGAGCTTTGCTGCTGTCAAAGGCTCGATGCTATGAAGTAAGTTGCAAGTTGAATCTGCTATGTTAAGTGATCTCTCACACCCTGGCATGTTGGTAAGCCAAGTGAACTGCTTGTTTGATATGTAGCAGAATATCACTGTTAACTGAATCCGAATATCACTAAATAGTTGCTTTCAATGAGCGCTGTACTGCTTTTTAGCCAACTCCATTTTTTGTACACTGCTTGACTTGCTCTCAAGCTCTGCCTGCTGCAAATGAAAAATCCACGGGCCATGTATATATACATACTAAATGTCATTGTTTTATTGTTGTTGATTGATCTATTTGCCTCTCCGTTGCTCGTGCAGTCGATAGCAACTGCTTAGATTACTGCTTTACCTACTTGCTGAAAGCAACCAACTAAACATATTTATTTTATACATATACATATTCA